AGGAAAGAAGTTGGATGGCATTGCTGCACCTGCACCATTTATTACTAGCACCCTGCATTGGCAGAGGGAGTGGTGGCAAGTGTACCCTGGACCTTTATTGATGTGCTGTCCTTGAGTACAGATGTGGCAAGTCTCGGCTTTGCTATGTCTTCATTTTGTGCCCTTGAACTTGTCCATTAACACTGAGCTTATTTCCCCATGTGTGCAATGGGCCAAAGGGAATGACTATCAAGTTCATATCGGCAGACCTTATCTCTGTCAGGAATTTCCTAACTACATGCAAGTCAGCTTCCAGTTCTGCGTCTACAAGCGTTTGACTTAGAGCCAAAGGTAGTACTTCCCTTAGAACTCTTCTTCCTCCTAAACTTGCAGTTTCAGTTCACGGCACCAATCCTCTCCTGACTGCACCAGCCAGAAGCCGGTGCCTTTCCCCACCGGCCATGCCTAATTTTTCTCAAAGCCCTGCCATTTTTACCTTATATATCTCTTTAAACTATGATCTTCCATTTCAACCCAGTGGCCTCTACCTTTGTTGGTACTCTTGCCATTTTTTTTTTTTTATCCTCATCCGAGGACATTTTTGTATTTATCTTCAGATAGAGTGGGAGGGAGAGAGGGAGGAAGAGAGAGAGAGAAACATTGATGTGAGAGACACATCGACTGGTTGCCACCCACATGACCCCACCGGGGCCAGGGACGAACCACAACCGAGGTACGTGCCCTTAGCGGGAACTGAACCCGGGACTCTCTAGTCCGCAGGCTGATGTTCCAACCACTGAGCCAAACTGGCCAGGGCTACTCTTGCCATTTTCTTACTGGCTGTGTGGCCTCCCACTTGACCTCCCTGCTCTGGTCTCCAGTCCTTCTGTCCTCACACACCTGCCAGTGACCCTGCTTCCTGCTTGAGCCTTCCATGGCTTCTTCGTATTCAAGAAGAAAGGGAATACGTGATAAATGAATTGGATGCTGAACTTGAGAAATAAGATGAGAACTAAAGGAAATTGGAAGGATTAAATATAACCAACCTAGAATAAATGAAGTCAAAACAGATCAACAATAGAATTGGTAAATAGATCTAAGAGTTGGTTCTTTAAAATGAGCCCAGGCTGGTTTTGCTCAGTGGTTAGAGCGTCAGCCCACGGACAAAAGAGTCTTGGGTTCGGTTTTGGTCAAGGGCATGTACTTCGGTTGCAGTTTGGTCCCTGGCCCTGGCTGGGGTCGTGCAGGAGGCAACCAATTGATGGGGCTCTCTCACATCGATATTTCTCTCTCTCTCTCCCTCCCACTCTGTCTGAAGATGAATGGAAAAGTATCCTCAGGTGAGGATTAAAAAAAATAATAATAATAAAAATGAATAAAATGTAAAAAGGATAAAATAGATAAACCAGATAGGCTAACATGTACATAGGAGAGCAGATGCAAATGTCCATTGTGAATGGGGGGATATGTGCCCAGCAGAGGTCTTTAGATTTAGGAGATGACTCTAGAAATCTCTGCTTAAAATACGAAGCAGTAAAGAAATGTCCAAGAAGATGATGTATAAGAAAAGATGAGGTTCTGTAATATGTTTTGAGACTATTTCTGCAGTAATTACCATTAAATCTTACTTGTATGATCTAAGCAAGGAGGGAAACAGGCTTTTCCTAATTCCTCAGAAATCTATACCATTTAAATACAGATGGTTAGGTTATTGTTATAAAATAATTGAAGCCATAGTGAGTTAAATATTTTTATATTGAAGAACAAATTTAATTTCCTGTTCCAGACAACTCTAATTACTATTATAACTACTTTATTTATTTTTATGACAGAAAAACACTAATGTCAGCATCTAATACAGTTGGGGGGATAAAGTTATAACATAGCTACCAAAATCCTAAGTAAAATATTAGTAAACTGAAGACAGCAATTAAAAGAATAATCTGCCTTGATCAGTTAGTTTATTCTAGAAGTATAAAGATGGCTCAATTTGTTAAAATTGGATTAATCACCTTAATAGGTCAAAGGAGAAAAATCCTATGATTATCTTAAAGAAATATCCAAAAGCACTTGATAAAATCAGCCAGCCAGCTTTCCTGATTTGAAAGTTTGGGTAAAACAAAGAATAGGAGAATCTTTCCTTTATATGGTAAAATGCATCAATCTCAACCCATTGCCACATACAGAAGCTTCTTACTGGATGTTTATAAATGTTAAATGAAAAGATGTTATCAAAATTTGGGGAATTTCCGGGTCATTAAATGAAGTATTAATGTCAGGGATAAGCAGGAGTGCCATTTGTCACTAGTAGTATTGAGCACTTTTTTGGAGGTTTTCTCCAGCACAATAAGAAGCTAAATGAGTATAAATATTAAAAAGACCTTAATATAATTACATGCGGATGATACAGTTATTCACTAAGTAAATGGATACATTAATAGAGCTGTTAAGAGTTTAATAATGTGAGCAAATAAAATATTCAGCTCTAGCCAGTTAAGAAGACAAAAGATGTATAGGGTACCTACATCTCCTGGACCACTCTCTCGGTCCTGCCATCTTCCCATGGACCGTCACCTGTGAAATCCTTAACTTCCCCAGACCTCCCTTCACTGGTGCGTAGTACATACTCAAGAACCAGACGCATGGGCTCAAGTCCCACCTCCACCGCTGTGCCACACTAGAGCCCTGGCAAATTACTTAGTCTCTGCCTCATTTTTCTTAACTTTAAATGGGGTTTAGAAGGGTCCTATACAAGGTAAACCGATATCAGTATCAGTGTTATTCACATCCTCAGGAAACGTCCCCTAAGCAGGCCACTTAGCAGTGCGCACTGACTCATAGCTCTTAATTAAGCTGTTGTGATTTTACCTTTGTGTGACTCTGATTACTGTCCACTGTTCGTTTCCCCCACTGAGCCATAGTCCCTATGTACAAGGCCAGAGGTCACTTCTGGTTTGACACCCATTGAGGCTGAAGCAGTGACTGGAATACAGTACATGTTCAACAAATAGGTATTGAATCAGATTATCAACCAAATTTTTTTTTAATTCTCACCCGAGGACATTTTTCTATTTATCTTCAGATAGAGTGGAAAAGAGGGAGAGGGAGAGAGAGACAGACAGAGAAACATCGATGTGGGAGGGACACATCAACTGATTGCCTCCCAAACAACCCCGACCAGGGCCGGAGACGAACCACAACCGAGTTAAGTGCCCTTGACCGGAATCAAACCCGTGACTCTGGTCCACGGGCTGACGTTCTAACTGCTGAGCCAAACCGGCCAGAGCAGTTATCAACCAAATTAAAAAAAAAAAAAATCACAACAAACTTGAATGTATAAATTTTATATAAAAATTATAAAATTTCACATGGGTTAATAAAAGGCTTGAATGAATAAATTAAATTTTGTAAAGAAGTCAAGAATTTCTCCCCTCATTAATCTACAATTTTATTTTATTTTTACTATCATTTTTTAATCCTCACCCAAGGATATTTTTTCATTGATTTTCAGATAGAGTGGGAGGGAGGGAAAGAGAGAGAGAGAGAGAAACATTGATGTGAGAGAGACACATCCATGGGTTGCCTCCTGCACAACCCCAGCTAGGGGCGGGGACTGAACTGAAACAGGTACGTGCCCTTGTCCGGAATTGAACCCGCCCCCTCTTGGTCCATGGGCGCCGCTCTAACTGCTGAACAAAACCGACCAGGGCAAAATCAACAATTTTTAAGTGAGCAATTTAGTGACATTTAGTACATTCACAGTGTTATCCAGTCACCCCAAAACATTCTCATCACTCCAAAATAAGCCCCCTTCTCTGTTAAGCAGTTTCTCCCTGTTTCCTCTTCAACCACCAAGCGCATTCTGTCTCTGGATTTACCTGTTCTGGACATTTCGTATTAATGGAAATCATACAATGTGTGATCTTTTGTGTCCAATTTCTTTCACTTAGTTTTTGTTTGGAAGTTCTTCTATGTTGTAATATGTATCAGCACTTCATTCTTTTTTTTTTTTTTTTTCTTAAGGCCGAATAAGCCATAGTGTGTATATACTACAGTTTGTTGAAGGACATTTGGGCTGTTTCCTCTTTTTGGCTATTATGAATAGTGCTGCTGGTAACATGCAGGCACACGTTCTTGTCCGAGTTCCTGTTTTCAGTTCTTTTGGGTAAATACCTAGGAGTAGAATAGTGGGATCATTTACTTACTGTGTTTAACTTTCTGGGAAACGACCAAACTTTTCCACAGTGGCCACACCATTTTCCATCCCCATCAGCGATGCACATGGGTTCTAATTTCTCTAATCCTTGCCAACCCTTGAGATTTTCCTTTCAAAAATAATTATAGCCATTCTAGTGGGTGTGAAGTGGTCCCTCATTGTGGTTGCATTTGCATTTCCTGATTAGTAATGATGTAGAGCATCTTTTCATGAATGCAGTGGCCATCTTTACATGGCATTTTTACTTTGGGAAATTGCCCCTTCAAGTTCTTTGACTGTTTTTTAATTGGGTTGTCTTTTGCTTATTGAATTTTAGGAGTTATTTGTATATTGTGATACTAGACCCTTAGTGCATATCTTTTAATGTTAGGTTCCCCTGGCCTGACTTTGTTCTCTTTTTTGTGATTTTCTTTTAAACCTATGAGAAATGCTGCAGATAGGAGAGGGTAACGAAAGGGTCTTAACAACTATACCGATTCCACGTGTGCCTGAGACTAGCGTTGGACCAATACCGTTTTTACTGTTTTTTCCCTGTTGCCCTTAGATTAGTTCTAACCTGTCTAAACCTCATTTGGGCATCTGGGAAGTCTAACTGGCTTTGATCATTTCCAGAGTGGCTGTGAGGACAATCACGAACGGGTGTGCCCCATACTTGGAAACTGTAAAATGTTAACACAGTTGTAAAGGTGGAATACACACTTGTCCTTACTTTGGTTTTGAGGATTCTCAGCATTCCGATTCGTAGTTTCGCACCTAAGAGCCATAACTGTAAGGAGGAGAATAAAAAGGGATGTTTGCTTTTCAGAGTCCTCCTTCCTGAACTTCCATGACTCAGACTGCGAGCCCCGAGGACCGCTGCCCTGCGACTCCCTGCTTTCCCTCAACACTGACAAGATCCTGGTACGCATCTTCTGTCCGGGCCGCTGTGCTCGTGACGCTGCTCTCAAGAGGCGGGGGGCACCTCTGTTTGTCAACTGGGAGTTGTGCCCAGTAGTTCTATGTGCATCAGATAAAGACTGTTCTTCTGGTATTTGGTCCATTGAATTATTATGACTTAAGAATTGGATGACTGCCCTGGCCGGTTTGGCTCAGCGGTTGGAGCGTCGGCCTGCGGTACAGAGAGACCCGGGTTCGGTTCCCGCTAAGGGCACGTACCTCGGTTGCAGTTTGTCCCCGGCCCTGGTTGGTCGTGCGGGTGGCAGCCACTCGATGTGTCCCTTCACGTCGATGTTTCTCTCTCTCTCTCTCTTCCTCTCTCTCCCTCCCTCTCTATCTGAACAAAAAATGGAAAAATGTCCTCGGGTGAGGATAAAAAAAAATAAAAAAAAGAATTGGATGACTGATCACTCTGGACCTAGGACATTGCACTGTTGAGGTCTAAGGTATAAAAGGGGATCGTGGGCCTTATTTCTAGAAGCCGTATGGACTTGAAAGTATAGTATAATCTTATTTTTCCAGCCTTTGGCTGTGTGGGTATCTTGTATGTCTATATTTTTTATCAGTACCAGCTAAACCGTGCGGGAGACCTCTCCATGAGGGACGAGTGCCCGGCACCGGCACCGGCACCGGCACCGTCTGCGTGCATCTGTGCCGTCAGCATGTGTGTTCCTCCCACCTCACTGCCTCAAGGAGGCGGCTCCGCTTGCTGTTCACCCTTAATTCTCTGCAGCTGAGTTACTCTTCCAGTCCCAAGGTTAACATTCTTCTCTAGGCCTTTCCCTTCAACATCCATGTCGATAATGTTTTCTTCTTTTGTTTAAAGTTCCACTTTAGGATACTCTTTCTTTTCCAAGTAAAGCTTTGCCTTTTCCTGTAAGAACTACTGAGAGTAGGTAGGAGCCGCAAACCAGAGAAGGATCGGCTCACTTTGCCTGACTCATTGTGGAGCAGTCAAAGTGATATACGGGGAAACTTTCGAATTAGACGTGTCCGAGACCAGACTGGGCTACCTTATAAAGTAGTGAGTAGGTCATCACGGCAAACAATTAGTAGACATTGGATGATCCCCACCTTGGATTACTGATTATTTTCTACTAGTTGCATTTCCAGTTGAAGATGGCACTAGCTAGTAATCTGTGCGAGAAAGCCCTTTCATTCTCCCTGGGTTAAACATGTGGGAGTTAGACGAGTCATTTCCTCATTCATTCCCTGGATACTTACTTTGCACCTATCGTGTGGCTGCTGGGAATACAGCAGGGAGCCAGGTAACTGTGGTCCTTGTGCTTTCGTCTTCTACAGTCGTAACCACATAATTCTCTAAATAAACACAGAAGTACCGTTGTGGAAATCACATGAAGGAAAAGCAGAGGGTCAGCATAATTGTCCTTAGCTTAGGGGGATCAGGCAAGACAGCTCTCAGGAATGAAATGTGAGCTGGGACCTGAAGGATGGGTTGGGGTTGGTCTCCTAGTGATGTGGGTCCTGATCGTAGCTCCTCACCTCTGTCCACAGAAGCCATCTGTAGATACAGTGTTGGAAAGGTTCTTTTTTTTTTAAATCCTCACCTGAGGATATTTTTCCATTTATTTTCAGATAGAGTGGGAGGGAGAGAGAGAGAGAAAGAAAGAAACATCAGTGTGAGAGAAACATATTAATTGGCTGCCTCCCACACAACCCTGACCAGGACTGGGGACCAAAACACAACCAAGGTATGTGCCCTTGACCGGAACTGAACCCTTGACTCTTTGGTCCAAGGGCCGACGCTCTAACCGCTGAGCCAAACTGGCCAGGGCAAAAAGGTTCTTTTTGATTAAGAAATGACTTTGTCCCTACTATATTTCCCCTGCCGACTCTGTTACAGATTTTATTTCTAAGGTAATACAAACAGTTTTAAATCAGAAATGGTCTTTAGTCTTGATGTTGCTTGCTAAGTGACTTCTTCTCTTAATGGGATTCATGTCTTTTCTCTCCCACGTTTTTGCAAAGCCTTGACTAACGGTAGACTCTCATGAAATGCTGGATGAAATTAGTAAGACTTTTTAAGTATTAAAAGAATTATTTATAGCCTTCTTTTCTTGGCTCTAAGCAATTTATTAAGCAGAACAATCTTTTGCATCTGTGTGCTTGTTCTTAGTCATCTGACAAAGAGGAGGGATGGTGTCTGGTCACACATGGACGCAGGCACGGTGCTGTGCTGCTGTCGCGTGCTGTTACATGTGCTGCGTCCCAGAGAAGCCTTACCTGGATCCCAGGTGCAGAAGCACCCAGCTAAAGAGCAAACCAGGAGAGAGCTGGCTGAGCTTCTGTCTTGTCATCAAGGTTTTTTTTTTTTATCCTCACCCGAGGACATTTTTCCATTTTTTGTACAGATAGAGTGGGAGGGAGAGAGAGGAAGGGAGAGAGAGTGAGAAACATCGACGTGAAGGGACACATCGAGTGGCTGCCACCCGCACGACCAACCAGGGCCGGGGACAAACTGCAACCGAAGTACGTGCCCTTAGCGGGAACCGAACCCGGGTCTCTCCGGACCGCAGGCCGACGCTCTAACCGCTGAGCCAAACCGGCCAGGGCTGTCATCAAGGTTTTACTGGAGGAAACAGTGTAAAACATTCCCTTTGGTAGAATTCTCAGATTTTCATTCCTTCCAGAGTCCTGAATCAAAGAGAACTGGCTCCTGAGCTGCAGTTCTCTCTGACCTGTGTCTTTTTATGTGTTTTAACCAGAGGTAGCATATTCTTGATCTGTTTTAAATATTTTTTACAGATTTTTTTAAAGATAGAGAGGGAGAGAGAGAAACATGGATTGGCTGCCTCCTGCACGCCCCCTACTGGGGATCTGCCTGAAACCCTGGGCATGTGCCTTGACCAGGAGTCAAACCGGGACCCCTCAGTCTGTGGGATGTCGCTCAGTCCACTGAGCCACACTGGCCGGGCTCTTGATCTGTGCTATAGGCAAACCAAATACCGCTGTGTCTGGACAGCCACCTGGATTTTGAGTGTCTAGGCAAGTGGACATACCTTGTTACTCTGTTATTTGAGTCAGTGAAGCCGGGAGCACGGTTCATCATGGCTCATGAATCCCAGTCATTGGCTAAATAGTGTGTACATTAGTCAGAAGAGTATCCCATGTGAAATTATTTGGCTGTCATATATGGAATATGGGTTTAAAAAAAGAATTCAAATGATTGGGATGTCACTGGGTTTCAATCCTAGAGTTTTCTCAAAAGCAACAGATTGTCTTAGCTTTTCCTGTCTGTCTGTGTGTACAAGTTTTAATCATGTCTAGGTGAATCTGGTATGAAGTTGTCATGCTAATGTGAACCCTATAGGCTTAGCATATCACAGCTTAGCATCAGCAGCCAATCTTCTGAGGAAATAGCAGCTGTTTATCAGACACGATTTGTTTCCCAAACTTGGCAGCACCCTTATTTTGTACGTGGACAAATCCTGCCTGTAAAGTCATTCCAGTACCTAAGCTCACTTGTCTAAATTTGTTTTTCCCTAGTCCTGCTTCTGTTTTAGCTCTTCTGCCAAATGTGTGTGTCCATGGCGTCTGTGCGCAGAATCGACTGTGTTAGGGAGGGCTATGTTCATCACTTGCTGTGCAGTTATTCAATAGATGTCTTGTTTCTTGGTCAGGCTTTGTTGGTCTTTCTGTGGAGTCATCTCTGTACAACTTGTAGCTCTTATTTCTAAAATGCGTTTAGAGTTTTAAAAGCCATATTCTGTTATCAAGGCACATTGAAGAGCTGATCACCAGAATGTGATTTTTGCCACACAATTGAGGTCATTAAGTAGTCTGTGAAGATGTGGAGGGAGCTTTGAAGCAGCCAGTAAGATGAAGCCCTGTGGAGGGGAGAAAGTTCTGGTTCCTAGAAATGGAACCACCAGTGAGGGAGGGAGGAAGCAAATAAGTTACACACAGACAGTGATCTTGAAGGAAGCAGTTGATACGATTTAAAGTGAAATTTTACTGCTTCCATACAAATTCAATGTAGCTTTACTTTTTGAGAAGATAGGGTTTTATTGTGTTTTCTCTTCACCTGTGATAAGCTAAAGTGCATGTTTGTCTTTTTTTATTTCAGAGCCAGGCCAAGTCTGTTGCAGAACAGAAGAGATTCCCATTTGCTACTGATAATGACAGCACAAATGAGGAGCTAGGTGAGACCCGAGTGGGGGATGTTTCTGTGGTGTTTGCCTCGAATTTGTGATTAGCTACAGAGCAGGCAGGCAGGAGGGTGAGGCAGAGCGCAGAGGCCGACGGAGACTGGCTCTGCTGGTGTGAGTGGTCTGACCCTGTGCAGCTCTGTGCTTCATGTCATAAAACAAAAGGTTTGGGTGGAATGACTGGGAAGGACTGTTCCAGCCCCGTGTTTCTGTGGAAATTAGTAATCATGCTAATAAGTTCTTAGGAGCTGTTATTCATTAAAAGGTCGTATGCTGTCACCAAGTATGAACAATGCAGAAGTGAAAGCAGAAGGGACATCCGTCTTCTGTGTAGTGGACTAGGGAGATTCAGGTCGCTTTCACTCATGAGGATGGTCACCATTGCTGGGTGTCAGAACGTGGGTGTGCAGAGTTGAGCTTTTTCAGATCAGCAAGTGGGTTGTGAGATTTGGCTTGTTCATGGAATGTTTTAAAACAGGCGGGGTTCTCCCGTGTCTGACATGCTTTTGGGTGTGTCTCCGCATTGCCCCGTCAGCTCACACTTGGGGGAGTGGAAACAGTCGGGTACAGGGCTGGACGGTGCAGCTGGGAGACTTCACGTGAGCATGTTCACGCCCTGGGCACCCACAGAAGGGTTTTCTGTGTAATTTACGCAATCGTCTTCTGCTTTCTGTGGCCATGTGCATTTTCTGTTCAGACTAAGCACCTCTGGTATGGGCTCCTTCTCTCTGTTAGTGCAGGTCATGTAGAGTTGACTACTTTGAAAGTATGAATCACTTTTTTGGTGATATTCTTTGAGCAGGCTTTGATAATGAATTACCCCTAGGACATCAGATTTGTTTTTTCTGAAATCCTTGGGTTCTGTTCAGCCTCATATTCATTTATTCAGTAATAAATAATGGCCTTCTGTGTGCTCTGAGAACAATCCTGGTAGACCCTGGGACAGTACAGGCCGAGAGCTGGCCTAGGATCTGTTGTGCCGCAGTGTTTTTTCCCTTGGAAACATGACTTCAGTCAACATACTCATTGCCAGGACACATGGAGTTACTGGTTAGTCACAATTTCTGTGAGAATTCCAGGTATCCCACTGTTTTCCTTATGTCTTTGGACTCCATAAAAAATTTTAAATCTTAATATTTACTTACATATGTGTAAGATTTGGATTATTTTTTTAACGGATACTTTTGGACTTTTGTCAAAAAATGTTTACTTTTAGATGGAAAGACTTGAGAGCTGAATTTGGTTGATTCATGTGGAATTCACACCTAGATGTGGCCAGTTTAACCCTGGTGTGAAGTACATCTATTCCTAAAACGGTTTTCATTTCTATGGCTCACTTATTGTTCACCCAACAGATGTTTACTGATTTTGAGAAAATAGCTAGGACATTCTAAAAATTTAGATCTGAAAGGCGCCTGAGAAAATTTTCTTTTTTATTCTCATCTGAGGATATTTTTCCATTGATTTTTAGGTAGAGCAGAAGAGAGGGAGGGAGAGAGAGAGAGAAATATCAATGTCAGAGAGACACATCGATTGGTTGCCTCCCTCCCACATGACCCCGACCCGGGCTGGGGATCAAACCTGCAACCCAGGTACCTGCCCTTGACCAGGAGTTGAAACCATGACCCTTCAGTCTGAGGGTCAACACTAACCGCTGCGCCAAACCGGCCAGGGCAACTAAGAAAATTTTCTACAGTCTTATTAAGCAAGACCCAGAGAGAAATGAGAAGAGTCACTGAGGTCACCCTTATCACAGGGCCAGTAAGTGACAGAGCCAGATCTTGGCTTTCCAATATATCATCATCTTCCTACCTTCAAAACAGTACAAGTTTATGTTTCAGTCTCTGTTCACATAATCATCAAGGAATTCAAACTGTTTTTGCAGTCCAGACAAGTTCACAGAAGTTTTGGTACATCCTTGATGTATTTCAGGGGAGGGTGTTGGTTTGGAGGGTGGGTCCTAGAGCCTGGTAGCCTGGTTCCTCTGTCTCACTCTGCAAATGGGGATGATAATTGTACCTGCATCATTGCAATTAAGGAGTAAATGAGTTAAGTGCTTAGGGCTGTGACATGTATTGAGTGCAATACATGTAGCTGTTACTCTGTTTATTGCTTTTACTACGGATATGACTGGCCCCCACCAAAGAAGTCTTTGGTTATCTTGTTATCTGATAAAACTATCTGAATAGTATGCATTATTATTCTGAATATGAGTTTCACCTTAATATATCTCTTCAAATAAATTAGGATAAAAACAGTCCCTTTTTTTTTTATTTTGAAGAATGCCCTCAAAAGCTCTTCTATATTGTCCAGCCAGTGTGGCTCAGTGGTTGAGCATCGACCCATGTACCAAGAGGTCACCAGTTTGATTCCCGGTCAGGGTACATGACCAGGTTGTGGGCCCGATCCCCAGTGGGGGGCATGCAGGAGGCGGCCAGTTGATGTTCTCTCTCATCGATGTTTCTATCTCTCTCTCCCTCTCACTTCCTCTCTCTCTAAAATCAATAAAGGAAAAAAAATTTTTTTTAATTAAAAAAAAAGCTCTTGTATTATTATGATGCTCAATGTTTTGGAACTTTACTTTTCTCAGATTGGTTCTAAAGATAATCTAAATCTTTCTGCATTTAATGTTTCTACTGCATTGAAGTTTTTTGCTACCTTTTTTTTTTATGCTCACCTGAGGACATTTTTGCATTCATCTTCAGATAGAGCAGAAGGAAGAGAGGGAGGAAGAGAGAGAGAAACATTGATGTGAGAGAGACACATCGACTGGCTGCCACCCACACAGCCCCAACCTGGGCCGGGGACAAACTGCAACCAAGGTGCATGCCCTTAGCGGGAACTGAACCCGGGTCTCTCTGATCTACGGGTCAGTGCTCTAACTGCTTAGCCAAACTGGCCAGGGCTTGCTACTTTTTTTTAACTGTCAGGAATTTTAAGCTCTAATGGCAGTAAACGTTTTAGTTGCCCATCTTCTGGAACACCTATAAGATCTTAGAATTAGAGAGTGACAATACAGCTGTTTTTGCAAAGAAATGTGATCAATATAGTATTATACTGAATGAGGAATATTTTTTCAGGTATATTTGGGGATGTATGGAGTTAGGCCAAATAGTATAGGTGGAAATGTAATCTATAATATTAAAACTTACCTAAACAATTTAATTAAAACATTTAGTCATCATTATTGTATATTTTGAGTAGTGTTTTGACTATATTTTGAATAGGAGATGTAGAAAAAAGACTACCATTTCATTGCAGTGGTATGAATTATTTATAATTATATTAATATATATCAATTTGAGCCTCTGTTTTTGTTCTCATTAGGTACTTGGTAGTAAACTTAGCACCCCCAGGAACCAAGATTTGTGATGCTATTTGGTATTTCTCATAACTTTCCCCGTAAAATCACATCACATGTTATATGGATATTATTCAGGGTTATTACTAGCTCTTTTGATATATAGATAGGCAACATCATAAAGGTTATTTGGTATTGAAAGTGAGTGATGGACTAAGAAAAAGATAATTACTTCTTGTAGGCAGATGTTTTATAGATGGCTTTAATAATTTAAATCTAGATAAAACTAGAAGACTGATTAGCAAGTGCTGAGTGGTAGAGGAATTCAATTACATCTTATTAACTTCTAGGTTTTCTTTAACTGCTTGTAGTCCTTGGAGCTGCCTTTTCAGATTCCGTAAAGAATTTAGTTACTGAGTCTAGTCTGAGATCTTTATTCTGTCCGTTAATATTTTCTGTATTTTGTTTCATAGCTATTGCTTATGTGTTGATTGGCAGTGGTCTCTATGATGAAGCAATAAGACATTTCTCAACAATGCTTCAGGTAATTTTTCTTCTTAATTATGTATTTTCAAGTTTATAGTCATGATAAAAATATGAACTTCTGCATAGTTTAGTGCTGCAATAAACCATCTATTTTAAGGTTGTATAAGACGGTGCAGGATCTCAGCCCTGACTGTGAGTGCTTCTTGATGCAAGCCTTGTCCCACGCTCTCATTCAGTCTATGCAGTGTTACTTCAAATGGGGAAAACGAGGCTCCTCGCCATCAGGTGGCAGGGTGGGATTCAAATGCAGGCTTACAAAGGCAATCATCAGTTCAGGTTACTTTCCTCTCTCCCCTGATATATCCCATGAGTTGTGGACATGGGCGATTCTTAGAATTCCAGATGTTTACTTTTTACGCAGGGGTTGCTGTCCTAGGTTAACCTAAGTTTCACTCATGGATTTGTTTCTCACTTTAAAGTATAATTATGATCCTCTTCTGTGGAATTATTGAGCCTTTGGTGATTGGTAGTTGCATTAAAATCTGATTAAGGTTATAACCAATGGACACAGACAATAGTGCAGTGAAGGCCTGGGTTGGGGGTGGGAGGAGGGTGGTGGGGGGATAAAAGAGGGACATCTATAATATGCTCAACAATAAAGATAATTTAAATTTTAAAAATCTGGTTAAAGTAAAATTCATAAATCTACATGTATAAGAGTTGCAAAGGGGGCCCTTATGGAACCTAACATTGTTGGCCTCATATGTCCCATCATTATTTAACTGTATTTTTGTAGCTACTTGACCATTATCGATTGTTGCTATGTATCGTTTTTAACTGTACTGTGTAGCTACTTGACCATTGTCAATTGTTGACGTGTCTGTCCAGTAGAGAACATTGAAGAAAACATGGAGTTAGACTTAGAGATACCCAGGTTCTAATCCTCTCAGCTGCTTACAAGCAAGTTATTTAACTTCCTGGATTATGGGGATAATAATAACTACCTCCAAAATATTCTTGATGGGTTTAAATGAAATATCCTATAAAGTACTTAGGATCCGGTGTCTGGCACATAGTAAGTGCTCTGTAAATTTTAGCTACTCAGAGCAGCGTTCCGGCATATTTATCTGTGCTGACCCAGCACAAGCCAACAGGTAGTTTCCAATTCAGCAAGTAGACTTAATTTCAAGATATTAATTTTGAAAACTTTGCTGTGCTTTTGCCTTCTCTTTTTAAAACATAGGTTTAGTTACGTTGATAATTCTATCTTTGCTCTTAAAAAATAGATGAGATATTTTTTAGTTATTACTTTAAAGTCTCCAAGAAGCTGTGTGTTTGGGTAGTCATATGGAGTAATATTCTTCAGTGGAGTTTAAAGTACAAAGGATAGAGTACAAATAGTTTTATAAATCAGCTTTGTGTTTAACATTGCAATATCAAAAAAGGTAAGCAAGTACTTTTACATAGTTAACATCTGACCCTGGTTTGAAAGGGAGTTTTTTTGTTGTTGTTATTAATCCTCACTTGAGGATATATATTTTTTCCATTGATTTTTAGAGAGAGTGGAAGGGAAGAAGAGAGGGAGAGAGAGGGAAGAGACAGAAAGCAAGAGAGAGAAACATCAATGTGAGAGAGACACATCAGTTGGTTACCTCCCTCATGTGCTCCGGTGGGGGTTGGGGATCGAGCCTGCAACCCAGGTATGGGCCCTTGACTGGGGATTGAACCTGTGACCCTTTGGTGCACCGGCTGATGCTCTAACCATTGAACAACACTGGCTGGGGATGAAAGGGAGGTTTTGATACATTTATAGGAGCAAATGTCAATTAACTTATGGTGACCAACAACAGAAAACAGTACAAGCTTGAAAATCCATTAAGAATTCATTGAACTTTTTGAAAATATTACTATTGTAGTTTAAAGCAATATAGCAATGTTAAAAAAAAACAAAAACTTTAAATAATAAAAAATTTCCAGTTTTGCCATTCCACCATTTTTATTTATGTCCCTTTCAAAGTATGCATTTATATTTTATAATCTGACCATAGGTACTATTTTGTATTACGTTTTCATTTAGTTTTATAAGTAAATGTTTTTCAGTATTTCTCTACAATCATATGATTTTAATGGCTCTACAACATACCTTTGTATTGTGCATTTATTGTTGTAAAAAATATTTCTCTTCCATTTATGTTTTAGAAAGTAAATCTCTATGCTGAGAAAATATATTAACATATTGAAATTTAATAGAGCATTCTCATCAGTCTATGGTACAATGGGTTGCTTTCAATTGGGAAGTTTTCCTTCGTGAATACGTGGATTAAAAGGTTGGACTGGTTTTTCTGGTGGTTCAGGCAATAGATGGGGCAGGAGTGGGGCCTGAGGGAGGAGCAAACAGTCCGGACGCTACTGCGTACAGGAGAAAGAACTGGGTGGCCATTCTTTACATTTTTATGCGGAGTGAGAGTGACTTGGGCTCTCCTGCTGATGTTTTGCTTGATGGTTTCCGTCTTCTTACCCTTTGTTTTGGCGCCTCCCAGCTTTTCCACTTCATGACATGTGTGGAAATCGTATTTGCACCACACACTGGTGTAAACAGGAGCACATTTAAATTTCAGCTAGAGCTTGGGGATATTTGTCACATTGTCTTTGTATTATATGACTGTGACAAACACAAAACACAAGGATTTGATATTAAATGCTAAAATTCTTTTTACTGTTTTAATAAGAAACTCGTTTCTGCTTTTCTGGACAAAACTTTTTCATATTAGGCTTTATGTTTACAAATAAGAGGTTTTGTTGATTTCTTCACATTCTTGATAGCCGGTCCATGAAGAAACTGTACAAGTAAGTGATAGCAAGTGTGCAAAGAATGATTATTTCTTCATTTCCAATTGACAAAATTCCTTTTTTCACTGTAAATCAGAGTTTGCATAAATTAGTCTCTTTAGTATTTTTAACATATGATCATTCTTTAAATCTAACTGGTCTTCCTTTTCTTTCATTGGCAAATGCAGTGGTACTATTTCTTGCAGTAATGAAACTGATTTTTATCCCAACAATACCCTTTTGTATTCAATACTCAGAACAGTGGCGAAACGTTTCTCCCAGTGTGCACGGATGCCTTTCACTCCCTGTGTTAGGACCACACTAAGTATCCCTGGACAATTGTCACCGCATGCTATGGATGTCCACCTGTTCCTCGGAGGACCTTCCACATTTGCAAATACTCTGGTTTTTAAGGCAATAAAACTTCTTTAACAAATCTGCAGAGATAACTGTTTTCACACAAACTTTGTGGGTTGATTGAGTTCATGGACTCTTGATAAAACTTTATGAAGCATCAGAATATGGAATCTGATTCCATTAATAGAAAGCTGAGAACAAATGAGGCCACAGGGGGCTTGGATTTTATTACAGGCACCATTTTTATAGGTCATTTAATGTGAAATTTGGATCTATGCATGAGAACTACTTCCATTCCAGAATGACCTTCTGATGTTAAACTTTTGTATCTTCCTGTTATCTTAGCTGTACCACTAGGGAACAAACTTATGAGATATTTTCATAATCTTTGTTGTTTCAAAGTGTTCATTTGGATATTTATCCAAATGTGGTTTCTTTGGTACACCTATAAAGGAAAAAAATGTTTCTCAAGTATCAGGGTTTATAACTGAGCACAATCTCAAGGCTTAATAGATTTGCCGGTCTTCCCAAAAAACTCTGATTTTAAACCCTTAGGAATATGTGTTATCTCTACATCAGTGCCTTTTATTTATTCCACACATGTCAGTGCATCAGTGATGGTGTTCTTGAAAGGTGGGACCATGCCCTGATTCCTGTGCTTCTCTGGTCCCCATGCAGGGCTGGGGGCTTCAGTGCTGTGACAATTTTGTGAGGCAGGTGGCCTTTGCTATTAACTGTGTAACCTTGAGCTCATCAGATTATGATCTGATTCTGGTGGACCTGAACTCGTAAAAGAACTTTGTTTCTTATTTTACATTAGCAGGCAAAATTTAAAACATTCCTCTGATGTGATCTTATAAATATCATTTATGTAAATACATATGTGTGTCTGCAATTTATCCCAAACTTTTGTTGTTGTTGTTAATCATCACCCGAGGACATTTTTTCCACTGAATTTTAGAGAGAGTGGGAGGAAGGAGGGAGAGAGAAGCATCGATGTGAGAGAGACACATTGATTGGTTGCCTCTTGAACGTGCCCAGACTGGGCCAGAGATCAAACCTGCAACACAGATACTTGCCCTTGACTGGGAATTGAACCTGAGACCCTTTGGTGTCTGGGCTGATGCTCTAACCACTGAGCACACCAGCCAGGACAACTTAGCCAAAACTTAATCCTCATTACATTACTGTGTAGTGGCTTTTTAAAAATTTGTTTGTCTTTGATTCAGTGACTTTCGACTTTTAATTTAAAAAGCCAGCCTTGTGGTGGAAAGATAAATATTTGTAAATTTTAAAGTCACTATGTAAGAAATATGATGAAAATAGTTAGTTAGATCTTTATGGATTTAAAAAAATTAATTTTTGAGAATCGAGACATCTAAGTAGACATCACTCCAATAAAGTAACTATCTTATTATACCATGATTTTGCACTTATATAAAGTAAGTATATTAGAGGATGGAAATGTTAGTTTATATTTAAAATTCTGAAAACTATAAAATATAAATATTATTAGACTTTTATACTCAAAAATACTTTGAAAAATTGATATTATGAGCCCAGTTTGGTTTAAGAAATAAACACTGGTTTTTATTCGAAAAACATAATTCATTATGATATTTCATAAAGAGTTTTGACTTATTGTTAACTCTCAAAGCCAATGATAGATTAAATAATAAAGTTGTATTAATAAAAAACTAATAGAAGCTATTATTTAATTTAGGAACCCTTAATACTAGACTATAAATGTGATAAAGAACCACAATAATTATATATCCTTCTATGCTGTTGGGAAAAAATTCTAAAAAGAAAGTGTAAATTGAATAGAGCCATTTTAGTATTTTCTTTTTTTAAGAATATTTTTGTAGTCTA